GGCGGCGGCCGCGGAGAGTCCCGACTAGGCCCGAAGCGCGCGAACCGCTCTCCGCCCCAGGTCCCGCCCCCCCCGCCGGCGGCGTCACACGCACCGCTACTTCCGCCACACGCTGAGACGCGTCTTCCGGCTCGAGGGCCACCTCCACTGATGAGGTCCACCTCCACTGGTGAAATCCGCAGACAGCCCGCCGGGAGTTCCCGGAAGTGGCCCTGGTTGCCAGCTTCCGGTGCTGTAGGGAGCCATGGCCGTGGTCACCTTGATACCGACGCTGGCGCGGGTGAGATAGCCGAAGATTTAGGGTTCGGGGCGGGCAACAGCTAGGACTGTTTCGTCCTCCTCTGTGCCGTGGAGACTGTAGGAGGAGTTCAACTACCCCACAACCCCTCAAGGAAAAGATCCCCCCCAGGGCGAGGCGCAGACAGGCGCTGGACATGCAGGTCATTTTCCATTCTTTGCTGAGCGCACGGTGTGTTCGAGTATAACTTGGTAGTATGTGGTTAAGTCGTCAGTCATCGTGCGAGAAAACCCAGATCTTACCTAGGTTCCCAGGCACAGTTACTGAACCGCCTCCAAAAGCCCATTTCTAGCCCCAATTCTTAAACTCTTCAGTGTTTACTTTCTCTTTTTAGCCGGTCTTAATGTATTGCTCAGGCTGGCCTCAAATTTGCAATTCTCCTGCCTCATCCTCTCAAGTACTGGGATTATAGGTTTGAATCAGCACACTCTCCCCCCACCTTTTTTTTTTCAAAGCTTAACCTTTTGCCGCTATAAATTTACATCTAGGTACTATCTTGGTCTCCACTTTCTTGCTTTCCTCCATTTCTTTTTCCGAAGTTTGTTTGTTTGTTTCAAAATGTGTGTGTGTGTCTGTCTGTCTCTCTCTGCCTCTCTGTGTATGTATGTGTCTGTGTCTTGTCTTCTGTGTGTATGTGCTCTGGGGTTAGAACTCAGGTCCTCATGCTTGGTAACAAGCACCTTTGCCTTCCTCTACCAGTTCATAATCAGCAGTTTTCCGTAGTGTCTGTGATTCTATAGTTTCTTTGTAACCACTGTAAATTGCTCAGAGCCCCTTCCTCCTTTCCTCTCCTCCCTCTGTTTTGTATGGTACTGTAGTCCCTCAGCTTCATAGTAGCCCTGCTCTACCCTCTCAAGTGCTGGAATTAGAGGCATGAGGTACCATGCCTAGCTAGTTCTTCTGCTCTCTTATGCTCAGTGGCTGCTGGACTTCTAGAGTGTGCTGGTTCTGTTAGTGTTGTAAGTTGTTCAAAATAGAAACCAGCCAGTCCCTTAGGGAATATCAACCCCCATGCTCTAGAACCTTAGCCATATGCTCCACTATTCCCTGAGCCCTGGGGAAGAGGCTCCCAAAGAATACTAGATTTTTGTCTGCTATGTAAGGTTTCCTCTGCACCAAAAGTAAGCAGCTCAGCTCTCTTGGTCTCCATGATCCCTAAGTGTCTGGAATGGGTTGTGTCCTGTTACTGCTCTGAGGCAAGAGAGACAAAAAACCAGCCCCCATAGACAGCCCCTGAGACACTGGAGCATTAGATGAACACCCTAGCTCTGCTTCCCCAGGAAAAGTTGGGAGTTGTGATTTTTTTTTTTCATTCTACAGTAAAGCAGGAATGGGGACCATGTCAAGAGAATGCTGCTAGTGTTAACCATCACCTTTGTTTGCTACAGCTTCCAGCTAGGTGTCCCTTCCTATAGCAATTAGATTCAGCTTGTTTGAATGATCTTTTAGGAGTCTTACCTTTCCCTCTTAGGTAGAAGTCTGGTGTTGGAATATTTTCCCTATCATCTTGTGCTTGGGTGGTGGTTTCGGGAAAATCTTAGGGTAAATAGGATGTAGCATGAATAATAAAAACCCAGAGACAGATACTGGGGTTCAACCTGAAGATCAGAAAAGCAAAGCAGCCAGCCACTGGCTCTTACCTCTACCTCAGATCAAAAATGGGTGAGATCCTATCTCCAAACATCCTAAAGACTCCATACTCCACTGAGTTCCTATCTCTTCCCCTTTTTATTTCTCTCTCTGTCCAGCCTTATTGCCCCTGTCTCCGCCTCTCTAGGGCTGGGATTAAAGATCACCTTTGCGTGAATTCTGTTTCTCTTTTAGACAGATTCAATCTTGTATAACACAGGGTGGCCTTGAACTCGAGATCTGTCTGCCTCTGTCTCCTGAGTCCGGGGATTAAAGGCATGTGCCATCACTCCCTGGCCTATATGGCTGACTAGTGTGGCTGCTTTGCTGTCTGATCTTCAGGCATGCTGTATTTATTAAAACACAAATAATATACCACTATAACAGGATTGTGGCATGTGCAGTCTGCAACTTTCCTGTTGGCAGCTGATTTTGTACTCATCTGGGGAGCAGGAGCCTATTTCCTGGACTACTTATAGAGGGAATAGACTTGTGAGTTGTTGAGTCAGTGTCTCCATTGGAAGGGTTTGGTGTCAAGGAGGATGTCAGTCTTCCTATTCTGCCTTCTTGCTAATATTGCCATGCTGTGGGATAATGCTCTTATACAGTGTAAGGACTTGTCACTCGTATTAGTTTAATGAAACGCTGATTAGTCAGTAGCCAGGCAACCAGACTACTAATTCTGGGAAGAGGAAAGGCAGAGATGCAGTTATCAGCCAGACACAGAGGAAGCAAGATGAGAATGCCTTACTGAGAAAAGGAACCAAGCCACCATAGCTAAACATAGACAAGAATTACAGGTTAATTAATATAAGTTGTAAGAGCTTGTTAATAATAAGCCTGAGCCAATAGGCCCAACAGTTTATTATTAATATAAGCCTCGTGTGTTTCTTTGGGACTGAACGACTGTAGGACCAGGCAGGACAGAAACTTCTGTCTACATTATCACCTTACCATTGTGTCTTTTTAAAGAAATTGTGTATGTGTGTGATATAATTGTGTGTATGTGAGAAGAAAGAGAAGGGAGGAAAGTGCTTGCCAAATTTCGTGTGTGAAGGCTAGAAGTCAACTTCAGGTGTCTTCCTCTATTTTCACTTTATTTCCAGAGACATAATCTCTCTGTTTTGGCTAGACTCCCTGACCAATAAGCTGTTAGGATCCACCTGTACTGGGGTTACAGCTGAAGGATATCATTCCTAGCCATGCTTGGCTCTTACATGACCTGCACTCAGCTCCTCATGCTTGCACAGCAAAGCGCTTTACTTACTGAGCCATCATTCTACCCTTCTCATATGTCTTAGAGTTTATGCCCTTCTTAGGTCTGGAGTCTTTAGGAGATCTAGGTATCCTCAGGGTCTAACAGGTGAGTAACTGGAACACAAGTATACTGTACAGTTTTAAAGGAACGCAAAAGCAAACGTGCTTCTGCTGGAATAATTTCTGGAAAGATTTGTTAAAAAATACTTCTGGAATATTTATTCTGTCTTGTAGACTGAGGTGTTGCTCAATTTATGAACATGTGTCTGTGGTTCTATTTCAGGGACTGTCCCCTCTAAGTCTTAGATTCATTGGTTTCTGTTACCTTGACTATAAAGGGACCGGAATCAGCAGAAGCACTAAGTGAAATCTAATGCATTTAGCACCTTATGTGTTGAATAAATAGCAGTAATAGTAACCATTGTCTTATAAAGATGTTTGTGGTTTGTTTCAGGTGCTGTCAAAGCAGAGCCTGCTGTCTCCTTTGTTCAGTGTGACATCATTCAGACGATTCTACAGAGGTGACAGCCCAACAGATTCTCAAAAAGACATGATTGAAATCCCTTTGCCTCCGTGGCAGGAGAGAACCGATGAATCCATAGAAACCAAAAGAGCCCGCCTACTCTATGAGAGCAGAAAGAGGGGGATGCTGGAGAACTGCATTCTTCTTAGGTAGTGGGGAAGAGGACTCGGGTGTCACTTCTCTTTAATAAGGCAGTCATGTCAGCCTCATTTTCCTTTTCATTTTTAGCCTCTTTGCGAAAGAATATCTGCACAACATGACAGAGAAGCAGCTGAACCTCTATGATCGCCTGATTAACGAGCCTAGCAATGACTGGGATATTTACTACTGGGCCACAGGTATTCCATATGATAAACTTCATTTCATGATGATACGATGATAGGAGAACACACCAATTTGAGTATCTTTGCAATTTTTTTTTTTTTTTTGAGACAGGATTGCTCTGTGTATCTCTGACTGTCCTAAAACTCTCTATGTAGACCAGGTTAGCTTTGAACTCACGAGAGATCTGCCTGCCTCTGCTTCTTGAATTCTGGGTTACATGCACCACAAAGTCAGGCCCTGTTTTCATCATTTTTATTTCTGTAATAGACACTACACCTAAACACTGTTCAAAATTTTCCAGAATATACAAAATTTGTTTAATCAATTGTTTCTTTAAACATTTTTCTTTTACATTTACTTATTTATTTTGTATGCATGTGTAAGCAAGCATACATGTGCATGTGTATTAAGGTCAGAGGTCATTAGTTTTCTCCTTTCACCTTGTGAGTTCCAGGGATTGAACTAAGGTCATCAAGCCTTACAGCAAGTGCCTTTCCTGCCCTTAGTTCAGTTTTTTGTGAGACAGATGGAGTACACTCTGACTTAGGTGAAAAGGGTATATAGTAAAGCTTATAAAACTCACAAGATCAAAGGAAAGACTGAAGAATAGGTTGGGAACAAGGTGACATGTCCTGGGTTGTTTCCTGTAGGACAAGCCAGTTCAGTTGAGAGACAAGGCATCAAAGTAAAGGCAGCAATATTTTTGGGTTGTTTTGTATTTTGATAAAGGATCTCACTGTATGGCCCAGTCTGGTTTGGAACTTGCTATCTAGACCAAACTGGCCACGAACTCACAGGGATCTGCCTGCTTTTGCCCCTGTGTGCTGAGATTAATGGCCAGGCACTTGCTTTGTTTTGAGTCAGCGACTCACTATGTAGCCCAGTCTGGCTTTGAACTCATGATCCTTCCATCCTAGCCTCCTCAAGGCTGAGTTTACAGAGTGTTGGGAATACAGAAACGTGCCACCATTCCTAGTCAGGATGATGACGTTTTATTAAAGTCAGCTCAATTCAAAGTTGAAGGGCTCTTATCCAAAGTCCACCTTAATTCTGGGGTGGGGGGGCATGAGGGCTCTTGTAAAAGGGAAAGTTTAAGGAACTGGGATCAGAGAGTGCAAATGGATCAGCATTTTTGAATTGCAGGCCACAGGCATAATGATGATTGGCTTTCTCAGGGTAATGCTCAGATGGGGAAGCTTTGCTAACAATTATCTTTACGAGGTGGGACCAAGTTAGGGTGTGGTTTTCTGGGGCACCTAGAAAAAACCCCCGTGTGCTCTCTGTGGTTCCCTCGCTGCAAAGCTGAGCTTGGACTTCTTGTTCCTGTTTTGTGAGTTCCCCCCCCCTTATAATAAATAAAAATATAATTGTTTATCTTTTAGCTAGCCTGGTTATTTCCCGAATCGAGCTAACTACTACAGTTGGCGCCCCTATTTGTGGGGCTCAGATCTGCAGTGACTCCAGCCAGCTGCCAGGCTCCATGCCATTCATTTGGGTATAGAATTCCTGTGCCGCGGTCCTTCATATTTTCTCACTAAACGTCTCAGAGAGCCTTGGCTACCTGCTACTGCCTGGCTGGCTTCTGGGTCCAGTACGGGACGTGGGCTTCCCTGCTTTCTTGTTCTCTTTGTGCTCATGAGGCTGCAGACCAATCAGTTTTCTGTTACTTAACAGTTTCTTGTTAGTGTAATGGCCATAGTAATCTATATATTAACAGACTGCCTGCTCATAACTTTGTGTAACTCCAACTCCAGGGGAATCCAACGCTTCTGGCCTTTTATGGGGATGGCACTCATGTATACACTCACACAATTACAATTAAAGATAAAGTAGCTCATTTTAAAAAAATAATTGCTTAATTGGTTATTTGAAAACTCAGCAAATCTTAAATATTTGCTATCTAGCCTTATGTAGGACAAGTTTGGTGCTGACTTATTTGAGATTGACCTTTGTTGCTTGTGTCAGTAGTTCAGTCAGTAGTTCATTCTTTTGTTTGCTGAGTAATATTTCAGTGTGTGGATTATACCACAGTTTATTTATTGACCAGTGGAGGGATTTTAGCATTTTTCAGTTGTAGACAATAATGACCAAAGCCACTGTAAACATTTGTGTACAGATTTTGTGAAAATAGATTGCAGGTTTTCTTGGATAAATACCCAGAAGAATCATTGGATTGTGGGTATGTGTACCTTTATCCATATGGGCCAGACAGTAAATATTTTAGGTACTGCAAGCCATATGGTCTCTCATAACTCTGTAACTGTAGATTGCAACTATAATGTGCAATCAACCACAGGTAGCAGGGTTACAAATGAGTGTGCCTTTGTCTCAATTAATGTCAATCATGAACATTGGATTTGAATTTAATATACTTGCAATCATGAAGTATTATTCTTTTGGATTTTTCCCCTCAACTTTTTAAAAATCAACCTTGCTTGACATGGTGGTGCACACCTTTAATCTCAGTCCTTGGGAGGCAGGGGCAGGTTGGTCTCTGAGTTTGAGGCCAGCCAAGGCTACATAATGAGACCCTGTCTCAAAACAGAAAATAAAAATAGTCTTTCTTTGCATATGAGCCATTACATAAATAGGCAACTGGCCATAGTTTCCACTGTTTATGCTAAGATCCAAAGAGTAGCTTCTATGTGCTTGTATTTTTATGATATTTTAGGAAAAACAAAACAACAGGAACAATAGCTACTTACCAGTGATTGCCAGGGACAAATTATGAAGAGACACTTTGTGTCTTGGGGTTTTTATTGCTGTGAAGAGACACCATGACCACAGCAACTCTTTTTTAAGATAATTTGTTTATTTTTATTTTATGTGCATTGGTGTTTTGTTTGCATGTATGTCTGTGTGAGGATGTCAGATCTTGGAGTTACAGACAGCTGTGAGCTGCCATGTGGGCACTGGAAATTGAACCCAGGTCCTCTGGAATAACAGTCAATGCTCTCAATTGCTGAGGCATCTCTCCAGTCCCACAGCAGCTCTTTTTGGTTTTTCAAGACGGGGTTCCTCTGTGTAGCTCTGGCTGTCCTGGAATTCACTCTATAGACCAGGCTGACTTTGAACTCACAGAGATCTGCCTGCCTCTGCTTCCCCGAGTGCTGGGATTACAGGTGTGAGCCACCACTGCCCAACTTCACAGCAACTATTATAAATGAAAACATTCAATTGTGGTGGCTCACCTACAGTTTGAGAGGTTCAGTCCTTTTATCATAATGGTGGGGAGCGTGGTGGCATGCAGGCAAACATGGTGCTGGAGAAGTAGCTCAGAATCCTACACCTTGCAGGCAGTAGGGAGTCAACTGAGACACCTCAACACCCGTACCCCCCACGGTGACACTTCCTCCAGCAAGACCATACCTCCTAATAATACCACTCCTTATGAACTATAGGGGCCAATTACATTCAAACTACCACACTTGGTGTTGTCAACATGACAGCCTTGTTGGTGAGGCTTCATGGGTATATTTTGACATTGGTAGGAGATTCATTGCTAGCAAATTCATTGTTCCTCTGGCTCTTGCAATCTTTCTGCCCCCTCTTTCACAATGTCCCTGAATTTTAGGTGCAGGAGTTGTGTTGTAGTTGGCATTGGGCTCTACAATTTCATTTTGATCAGTTGTGGTTTTTTGTAATGGTCTCTGTTGCAAAAGAGAAATTTTCTTTCTTGGTGGAGGGTGAGGACTGCTCTTTCTGTGGGCCTAAGGACAGATATTTAGAATATAGTTAGGATTATGCTAGTGTAGTGAAGTGACAATTGTAGGTTCTTCTCCAAGATCTATGATTTCACTACCCCTAGGTAGTTGACTAGTTTTCCAGTACCAGGCATGGTTTCCCTCTTACTGAGCAGGTCTTAATTCCAATTAGAGAACTGTTAGTTACTACAAAGGTATGAGTACCATTATTGCCTCCATTCTTTGAAATCTTGATTGGTGATGTCTTAGTTAGGTTTTTTATTGTTGTGAAGAGATACTGTGACTACGGTAACTTTTATAAAGGGACACATTTAATTGGGGTGACTTGCGTGCTTCAGTCCTTTGTCACGGTGGGACATGGTGGTGTGTAGGCTGATGGGTGCTGGAGAAGTAGCTGAGAGACCTACATCTTGTATGGCAACAGGAAGTGGTCTTGTCTCATTGGGTGTGTCTTGAGCATATGTGAGACTTTAAAGCCTTGATCCACAGTGACACTTCCTCCAACAAGACCACACCTACTCCAACAAGGCCACACCTCCTAATAGTGCCACTGCCTGGGGGCCATTTTCTTTCAAAACACAGGTGCCTTTATTTTTTTTCTTTGGTGAAGTGACTCTCCCACCCAAGTTTATTAATATGTTATTTGGCTTTCAAATTCTGTACCAGCCTTATATTCCAAAATTAACATTAGAGTCTTGATTTATTAGCAGTTCAAGATCTTTTGTCTCCATGAATATTGCTGTATAAATATTTCCTAAGTTGTCATCAGGTTTTGATGAGGTAGGTTGTGAAGTGCTCTTTTCCGTTTTCAGGAGGATATATTAGAATTGGTGTTACTTCTTCCATAAATATGTGATAAAATTTGCTAGTGAAGTTTTCTGGGCCAGTGGTTTTCCCTCCTAGATATTTTTAACTGTGAAGCTAATATTTTTTTTAATAAAGAGTGAACAATTATAGATATTTCCTCTGAGGTGAGATTCAGTCATTTGTCTTTCAAACTATTTGCCATGTCATCTAAGTTGTCAGGTGTATGGGTAGGATTTTATTTGTAATGACTTCTTCCTTGTACTGTTAGAGGAGCTAGAGTAGTATCTTTCCTGAACCTGTAATATGGCTCAGCAGGTGATGCTGCTTGTTGCTGAAGCATGGTGACCTGAGTTCAATCACTGGAATTTACATAAAAGTGGAAGGAGAGAACCAATTTCACGAAGTTGCCCTCTGACTTCTGAGTGCTTGCTGTGGCATTTGTGCACTCCCCACTATATACTCACACACTTACTAAAAATAAATAATAAGACAGGTGTGGTCTC